ATAAAACAATACATTATCATTCTGCATTTCACTTTTATGAGTCAATACATGTAAAAAAAAATTATATGTATGATTACAAAATTTTTTTCGAAAAGTCCTTACATAAAGAAAACTTTTGTGATAAATAAAATTTGTATCTTTCACATATAGAATCGAAAAATGCAAATCGCTCAATTGCTTCTTCATATATATTTAACGATAACAAATTATTTTCATTTTGCAATATTAAATATACATACATAAATGCATGTACATATATATTTTTATATTTGTCCACATTTATCTGTTCAGAACAATATTTATTACTTAAGATAAGATTAAATGTGAAATTCAACAATAAAAAATAACCATTCACTCGTATTCCGCAAAAATGTTAAGTAAATAATGAAAGTGAAATATTTTGATGAGATGACAAATACATTAAAAATTATATTTCAGTTTGTATACCTAGGTGTACATTAAAACTGTCCTTAAACAATAGAATAATGTTGATAATAGGCTATTCAGGACTCTGCTAGACTTAGCAAAATTCTTGCTAAATGTCAATCTAACATCTCAACCTACATTATATCCCCGGTTGCAAAATTGCTGTCAAGGAAATCGCCATTGAAAGTGCAACTCTATCGGAGATCAATAATAATATCATCTCCCATAACAGGATCTCGTGGGCAATTGAAAGTTTTTCCCCATTCAAATCACCAGGACCAGATAATATTTTGCCGAAGATGTTACAAAGTGCAAAAGAATATATCATCCCTTGGGATGATATAATGATTAGCGATATTATATCTAATGTTCTGGTGGTACTTAATAGTTGGGACGAATGACTGTTGCACAGGGCAATAAAAGTATTTACACTTATATTTTAATAAAAGTGTATTTAAAAACACTTAAATTTATAATATATTTTCTTAAAAAATATGGTTAAACTTTAAAGGTGACCTTATAAGGGGGATTAGCTAATTATGAACCGATCCTTGTAAATATATTATAGAATTTTGGTTATTAAAAAATTTGTATCTTAAAGTAATTTCTGAATGGTTTATGCTACATTTCTATATACTGGTATTATTATTCCAGTTAGGAGCGTTGACAAATTTTCTGAAAACGATATGGGGGTAGGGTCAATTATGGTCCGTTGTCCGCCAAATATTAGAATATTATTTCTAGCTGCATAAAACTAACTGCTGCAATAATTTATCACGATTACTGTATAATTATCCGAGGGTTTACTTGTATGAAGACTAGATGAAATTAAAGACCAATATAGTTTATTTTTTATACCAACCAAACCTTATCAATTTAGAATATTTGTGCAAAATTTCAGCCCTCAATCTCCTCCCGTGTTGATCGCGATTTCAACAAACAGACGGACGATCTAGTACTTTTGGGGGTCTACGAATAAATTTTCCATCTCTTTTGAAAAAAAGGCATGTTTGTTTATAAGAAGAATTCGCATTTTTTAGATTTTAAGCTATTTATATCAAAAGACCTTTTGGGGTTTTGAATATTATTTATGTATATTGTGGTTAAAGTTGAAAAACAAATAAAATTTCACACAAACAAACATTCATATGTGTGTATGTGCTTATCTGTGTATGTATACATACAACATATCACAATTATTCAATATTATTTTGCTTTCAAAATAAATGTTTGAAATATTTGCATAAAATTAGCTATTTTTTAAGAATTTTTTATTGTCACAAATACTTTAACACGTTTTTGAAACCAAACCCTAATTTTTAAATAAATATTTGGCTTTGGTTCTTATCTTTTAAAATAAGTTTAAAAAATATGTTATTATGTTAAAATAAAAAACAAATTCCAGTTTATTTTGTTAAATCATAGTTTTTAAGTTAAAAAAAAAAACAAAAGTGACATCAGTTATATCATTAGGGGGTTCATCTTACATATATTTAATTTAATATTTTTTAATAATTTTTTATTTTTTTTGTAAAAGCTAGAATCTTCTTACATCATCCTTACACTTACAACTTCTTTAGAACAATTCCCTTGCTTTATCGAGCTTTAAATTTTTTTTATTGCTTTTACAGTTGGTGCATAAGAATATTGTTTATATTTCATATCAATAACCGGCCTTGAGCAGTTGTCATTAAAAAGTTAATAAATAATTTGAAAAATAGAATATAATAGAAAAAATAATAAATGCGGTTTCGTCACTTGTTTGTATTTATAAAAACTGTATAATTTTAAATATGCAATTACGTAGTATGTGTTAAAAAAAAATCTTAAAAATAACTAGCTACATATTTCTATTCTTGAGCAAAATAATGTCTGTTAACAAAACAAGTATTTCAAGTAGTTTTGTTGAGGCGTTTATTTATAAAATATTTTTATGGGAATGCAAATGTCTGCTCGAATAAATGTCACTAAAAACGAAAATGTAATCCTAATTACTTTAGTTTCATGAACAGGATCCTTTGATGTCGCTATTACTGCTAGAACATTTTTATTGAGATTCTAATATAATTTTCAAAAAATTTTGCTGTACAAGTTATATATATTCCACAAAAATCAGACATTAGATTAGAAACATCTTCTTGGATTCTAATTAAAATAACGTCAAAAAATCTATGCTCTGCAATATACATACATATCGCTCATTTACTAATACTTACAATTTCTTAAATTACTTTTAAGTAAATCATGAAATTTAAGAAATGCAAAAATATTTAACTTAAATTAAATTTTTACTTGTCAAATACATACATATTTGTAAAAACTTGAAAACAAAAAATTCCTATCATACCGAAAATATTTTTGAAAATATATAAAACTAAATGAAAGATTTTAGATCGGCGCATATTTTTTATTATTCAGTCCAAAAACTCCAAATTTCGAATTCTGCAAGTCTTGCAGTAAATGAGCGATATGTAGTTCTTAGATTCGCAGATGTAGGGTAATAATATAACAGTTATAACAATTATGCATTTATATGTACATATCTTTATAAATAAAAAACAAATATCGTATGAATACAGGTACTCGTATCTGCGACTATATAATAGAGCAACAGGTGTGACGTAAACTTTAACATATATTACACAGACTATGTTACATTGAGAATATAAATAAATGAATAAATGAAAACGTAACTTAAACAAACAAATAAAACGTTCAAAAAAAAACAAAATCATTGTTTACAATTTTACGAATACTCGTAGAAAAATTAAATCAGATAAAAGAAGAAATCAACAGGTTTTTGCAAACAAAAACAAAAAAGATTTTAATGCAAAATATCTTGTTTTTGTCACAAGATGAGCTCAGCTTTTTAACAAGTTTTTATTTGTAGTAAATACATACATAATAAACAAAAGTTGAGAATTTAAAAATGTGTATTTTCTGTTTTTGTTGTTTTGGAATTTGAAATCATGAATGAAAATTATCTGTTTACTTTAAGTAAATGTCAAGTTTAATATTGGTAGGTACATATTCAATTTTACAATAAATCTGGCATGCACTAAATTCGAAACATAAACATATATTAAATTGTTAGTATATAGACAATTTAAATATTATAATACATATGAGCAATTCCATGAAAAGGCATTTTTGAAGATAATTCAACAAAATTTGGTATATGATCTTTTGTAGCACCAAAGACGAAGACTGTTGAAAATTTTTGAAATTGGTCTATTTTTACACCTCGCCGCCATACTATCCCAGATCTAAAATGTCTAAACCCTTATGCCGATTTTCATAACGATTGGACCTCATTTGACCCTAGTTCCATTCAAAGTTTAATTTCAGAAAAACACTTAAACGTCCGTAACTCACCTCTAATCACTAGTATTATGATAAAATTTGGCACAAATAAGTTTTATATGAATAAAAATCACACCCTAGAATTTTATGAGGATCGGTCCATATTTGTCCCTAGTCGCCATATAACTCCAGTTTTTTATTTTTATCTATAAATTGCTTAAACATGTATATAGGTCGGCCATGTCCGACTGCACTTTCCTACTCCTTTTGCTTTGTTGAAGTGTGTGTATGTATATATTTCCAAAATATATATTTTATAACATAAAAAAAATCAGGAGAAAAATCTGTCACATACGATGTGTCATGTACGATATTTAAAAATGTTCATTATTAAATTATATTAATTTTTTTTATTTAAAAATTAAGGATTACTAATGAACAATATGTCCCATAGTGTAAGAAATTAAAACAAAAAAGATACATCTACAGAATTCGCAGATTTTTGTAAATATTTACATGTACTTTAAAAACACTTCCGTTTTTTGTCACGTATGATATCGCCATATTTTAATCCATATTTTGGAAAACAAGTTTCCGAATGGGATGATTACTTTTGCAAATATAGTATTCTTTAAATGGAACAGAATGACGAAATTGTTTTCCAAATACTCCTAATTTTACAAAATCTATACCACTCTGAAGGCGTGCGAATTTCACATACAAGCGTATGGAATTGCCCATATGTATGTATTTTTCAAACACCTACAGTTGTGGATTATTTTGTTTCTTTTCAATACAACAAGTATTTAAATAAGAAACACCTACACTTGACGAATATTTCTGATCACTCAATAATGAGTAATTGTTATAAATTACAAATATATAGAAATATTTACTGATTTCATTTTTTTCATAAATTTTTTAAAAAAATTGTTAACCTTAATGCATCATCGTTTTTAAGTATTTTTCTAAACAATTCAAAAAGTTCAAAAACATATGTACATGTTACATATGTATACACACAGAAAACAGATTCTTACGGTTTGTTGTTTTGTATTGAAAATCAGTCCAAAATCAATTTTAATTTTAAAACCGAACAAGGGATAGACGAATATAATTTTTATTAGCACTCAATAAAAATATTTGATGCCATCAAATCACTAGTTCAAAATTTTTTAAATTGAGACGTTTGCTTCCTTATACATTTTATATGTACATATGTATATAAATATATATAATCAATTATTAATTATTTGTTATTACTTTTCCAGATCTTGGGTATAATTTGCATGGCTTGCGCTTCACCTGCCATCATTTCAGCCACATCTTTCTTCCTGTTTGTTGTGGTAGTTTCATTTATAGCAACACTGTTATGGATCTTTGCTTACCTTTTGGGTATTCGAGAAGCTCTTAATGTTGCCATCAATTGGATATTCACAGTAAGTATTTTAACAATTTATTATTTTAAAAAAATAATACAAAAATTACAAATCCAACCTTAACTCATAGTCTAGAAAAAGCTTTGAGATTTTCAAAATTTTTACAAAAATTAAGAATTTGTCAATTTTGAACGAAGAGGGAGGGGAGGGCATGTCTTTATGATCACCTTAATGTTACTACCACATTGACATTATATGTAGTTTTCAATGGAAAAGAATGTTTGTAAGAGGTTTAATGGTAGAAACTATTTATGTTGACCAACATTATGGCTGAGCGCACAGCCATTGGAACCTTGGTTAACAGGTTGATTAAAGGCAAGAATTTTATCGTTTACGGTACTTTATGTTTTAATTCGAAAAAGAAAACTGGTTTACATTGATGACGGTTATTAATAAATGATTAAAATAAAATATATAAAAGGTCTATCGAAAGGAAATGTTACTTAAATGTTTATTCAATTGATTACGCACAAGTTCTATATCGAAATATCTATTTAAATATATTGAGGCATTGCTCGGAGTTTGGCCGCTATTTAGAAAATAACATAAACATTATTGTTGTCTTTTAATCAGAATCTTTAAAATTGACTTCTCTTGCTAGACTTTTTCTTTTATTCAAAAACGAGCTGATCTTTGGAATATTATTTTATAAAAATTCACTTTCTTTAGCTTTGAAGATATATATATATATCAATAAATTGTTAATGTTTCGATTAACTACTTATTTAAATAAATCAAAATCAAGAGAAAAAATCGTTTGGAAATTGATCTTAAAATGTTTTTAATACAAAGAATTTTTTGATCACAGATAACAGGGTAACGGCAGCAACAGAAAACAATAAAATCTTACCTTATGAAACATGATTATACAAAAATAATATTTTAATTTGTCTTTTCAGGAACTTCTCAATACTGGTATTGCAGCCCTTCTCTATTTTATTGCTTTTGTAGTGCAATTGGCCAAGTGGTCACCAGCGTATGGCCACAATTATTATGGTTCAAATATTGCTGCTGGTGTATTTGGCTTGTTCAACTTTTTGGCCTATGCTGCTGGTACATATTTCCTGTATTTGGAGCATAAGAGTGGTGCTACAATATAAGCGAAGATTACTTTGCCGAAAAAAAAAACAGCAAGCAGTTCAAATATCAAACATACCAATCAATATTTAATGAAAAGTGTTCGAAGAAAGGCATTTTTAATTAAAACGCCCACGCATTCAATTGCATAAAAATATGTGTACACCGAAGTAATATATCAATATAACATAATATACCAATAAGAACAAAATACCAACAATTTATTATTTAATTAAAAAAATAGCTAAATATTATCCTCTTTGTACTTGGACAGCACTAAATATAAATCAACCCCTTTAATCCCAGTGGAGTGTAATACATAATTGAACAATACTGTTGAATTATCTCTAACATAATAAAATTAAAATAGCAAAGAAAATAACGAAAATAGTCATCGATGCAATTAATTAAGCCAAAACAATTTAAATCACACACACACCCATTATTAATATTAATAAAATGTTAAGATAATTATGTATTTAAGTAATTTATAATTTTAATAAATGTATTTTTTTTTGTTTGGTTTTTATTGACAATTTTCTTAACTCTTGTTCGTATACATAGTTTGTTTAAAATTAATTAATGTGTGTTTTAATTTTTATTATTTAATTTTTTGTTTCTAGTTTCGTTTTATAATTTTTCTCTAAACAAATATACATACATACATGCATACATTGATATTTATGTATGTAGTATATTTTTTGTTATTATTTATTTACCAATAATTTTACCATATGTGTAAATGTTTTACAATTGTAATTCATTTTTTACTTTTTGTAATAATAAAATAAAACAACAACAAGTAATATTTGTTTCTTTTTTAATTAAATGCTTAGCAAGTTTTGAGATCAATTAAAAAATATGTATGTATATATTTTTAAAACAATCGTAAATATGCACTTGTCGTCAAACTTAAGAAAATGTGAAAAATTAAAAAAAAACGTATTTTATTTAGCATTGCTTAAAATGATTAGTAGGAAAAATATCTGTTTCCAGAATATGTATGTATTTGTGGCGAATCTTATATCTACCTTTCATTATACTGTGTTAAAAAAGCAGTCAATTACAAAAAAACAAGTGACAGTGTTATATTCGGCTGTGCCGAATCTCATATCCCAACCATCAAACCGTATGCCGTAATGGTCCACTATAAACATCAGGGTAATATTTGGAATATATCATAAGTCAATTATGGACCGAGCTCTTTTGAATTAAAAAAATATTATTTTTAAAATCGAAATAATTTTTGTTCATTTTTTTTTTGTACATTATGCCCATACTGGGACCGATTGTCGTAAAATTTGATAGAATGGTTTCGTTTCGAATTTCATCGCACTACTCATATTTAATTTTGGACCGATCCACATAAAATTTGGTTAGGAGATTTTGGCTCGTAAGGAACTTACTTGAGTCGAATTTCACGTCTATACTCGTATTTTTACGCCAGTAATGAGCGTTAAAGCAACTTTATGAAGGGAACCTTATGTGGTGGTAGGGTTAATTATGGACCTATCCACCTAAAATTAAAATTGTCGAATGGACCCATCCACATAAAATTTGGTAGAGAGATTTTGTCTTGCATAAAATTTATGTCTGTCGAATTTCATCGCTACATTCATATTTTTAAGCCAGTAATGAGCGTTATAGTAATTTTCTGAGGAGGATATATATAGGGGTAGAGTCAATTATAGACCGATCCACATAACATTTAGTTAAGAGATTTTGGCTCTGAAGGACCTTACTTGAGTCAAATTTCATCTCTACATTCGCATTTTTAAGCCAGTAATGAGCGTTATAGTAATTTTCTGAAGGGGGTAGGGTCAATTATGGACCTATACACCTAAAATTATGTGTGTCGAATTTCATCGCTACATTCATATTTTTAAGCCATTAATGAGCGTTATAGTAATCTTCTGAAGGGGACCTTACCTATAGGGAGGGTAGGGTCAATTACGGACCAATCCTCATAAATTTTGGTAGCGAGATTTTGGTTTATATAAAACTTATTTATGTCGAATTTCATCGTTATACTCGTTTTTTTAAGCCAGTAATGAGCGTTTAAGTCATTTTCTGAAGGGGTCAATTATGAACCCATCCACATAAAATTTGGTAGAGAGATTTCGGCTCTCATGAAACATATGTGTGTCGAATTTTATCGCTATATTTGTATTTTTAAGCCAGTAGTGAACGTTATAGTAATTTTCTGAAAGGGACCTTATGTGGAGGGTAGGGTCAATTATGGACCGATCCTCATAAAATATAGTAGGAAGATTTTAGCTCATATGAAATTTATTAATGTCAAATTGAATCGCTATACTCGTACTTTTAAAGCAGATATGTCCACTTATATGGGGGCTATCCGGAAACGTGGACAGATATTGCCCATTTTCAATAAAAAACAAACCTAACCTATAGTGAATTTTTGTGGATAATTTCAACTCTCTAGCTCATTCCGTTCAGACTCTATCGTGCTTTCAACAGACGGACATGGCTAAATCGTCTTAGAATATATTTTTGTGGGTCTATGACCAATATTTCAATATGTTACAAACGGAATGACAAGAACAATATTTCAATATTTTTTAAATAATTTATTATACTTTTATTCCTCCAATATTTTTTTAAACTAATAAACATACAAATATATATAAAATCTTATAATATAACTGAAATATTTTATATATACATACATATCGTCATCTGAAATGCAAATATGCGTAACAACCAAAAAATTGAAAATCGACTTTTTGATTGAAAATGGTTCACCGCATCAAAATACATGTTTTTGCAAATTTTTAGAACTATATTGTCAAAAATACCAACAAATTAGTAATTTCTACAAGACAGAAAGTCATAAAAAGCAACAATAGACAACGGCTGTCGGTACATTTATATTCAAACATGTTTATTTATGTTAGGATATAACACACATTTTATTTAGTTTTTTTTCTACTGTAAAATTTGAAGTGTTGGTGACGATATATATAAACAAAATAAGTTATGTGAATATCTCCTTAATTTTTTATTTATTAACAAATATTCAATATTTATAATTTCTATGTTCATTGCACAACCCTGCTTTAATATTACAGCTCTAATAAGGTTTTTGTCTTCGCTTATTTATATTTTCACATATAGGTGGAGCCATCGATAACAGCTGTTTTTGACACTAGCAAAATGTCAAAAAAACAGTACTGACAACTGCAGCAAAATGGACTTCCTCTTTTTCGATACGTTCGCGTTCGTGTAAAATTGTTAAAAATTTTCACAAAATAAATCTTAGGTAATCTTTGTGAAAATCTACTAAATTTAAGTGAAATTATGTGAAATATCATCAGCATTTTGTAAATTATGATATGAGAATATAATTTTGTTAAGATTAAAGTGAAATATGTGAATAATTTGCAAATTTCTAAAACCCTTGTAAAAGATCAAAAATCTCTGCCGTCTAGTTATGTTTACACAGACTTTTGAGAAAAATTCATGATTATAGTTAATAAATTGTCTGTTTCCAGTGAATAATATACGAATGTGTTATTTTAATCATGTAATAGTTTTAAAAATGGACAATGTTACTTTGAAAATTGTTAATCAACCACTAGGCCGGTGTTGTATTTGTTTATATGGCTTTCCAGGCGGCTAGACAAATGTCATCATGTTCATACATATATTTTGTAACAGCAGTTTATTAGTGGTTCATTAGAAAACTGCAAACTGTTTACATTTATCATTAAAAATCTAAAAAGTGGCATAATGTTTAATATTTTGTAACAAGAAAAGTCAAATTTGCATTTTGAATTTGTGATTTTCATTTCATTAAAAAAATATATTTTTTAAATGTTTTCTTTTCTTTTGCAGCCATGGTGCGTATGAACGTATTGGCCGATGCCTTGAAATGCATTAACAACGCTGAAAAGCGTGGCAAGCGTCAAGTGCTCCTCCGCCCTTGCTCCAAAGTCATCATCAAGTTCTTGACTGTCATGATGAAACATGGTTACATTGGTGAATTCGAAATTGTCGATGATCACCGTTCCGGCAAGATTGTTGTCAACCTCACCGGTCGCTTGAACAAGTGCGGTGTTATCTCTCCCCGTTTCGATGTTCCCATCAACGATATTGAAAAGTGGACCAACAACTTGTTGCCCTCTCGTCAATTCGGTTATGTTGTATTGACCACCTCCGGCGGCATCATGGATCACGAAGAAGCCAGAAGAAAACATTTGGGAGGAAAGATTTTGGGTTTCTTCTTCTAAATTAATAAACAAAACTACAACAACAAAAATTGATGCATCAATGTTTACAAGGCGGCATTAACAAACAACAACATGTGTTTGTGTGTGACGCGTGTATGTTGTTTTTTTATAAATAAAAAAACAGATATTTTATATTAATTATAAAAGAAAGTGATTTTGCTTAATTTTAAGCAAGGAGAATAAAAAATTAAAAAATAAAAATAAATTTCTTGTGATTTTTTTCAAATAGAAAATACGAAAAAGCATACAAATTGATAACTCAACCAATACTTTCTGTAATTGCAATATGATACATCAACAAGTAGAAAAATATTAACATTACCTAAACAATGCAAAAAAAAAACAGAAGACTTCTGAAATAATTGCATTCGAAAATTACCTCTACAATTAAAAAGTGCAATCGAAATTTGTTATAATTATAGGTATATAAATTCTTAAAGGTTTGTTCGAATTCCACTCTATAATGTCATTTGTTTGAATAATATTTACGGAATTAAAAACTGTTCAAAATTGTAATGTGTGACAGGACCTTATACGAATTACTAATTCAAAAAATTTTTAAATGATTTACAAAAAAAAGTTTTATTTGAACTTGTGTCATATGTGCTTAAATTAAAAGATAGCATACTTTTAGGATGTGTAAAAAAAATAATACAGTGTATATTAAAAAGTTTTTTCAATATAACATATAAGCATATACTCGGGTAAGTTTTTCATTTCCAAATTGTTATATTACGACTACTAGAGGTTGGTATTTTCTAAAGAAGTACATATTAACATAACATAAACTAGATTTTTGGACAGATTTTCGTTTGGCCTTATACATTTAGGGTGCTGACAGTGCGGTAAAAAAAGTAATTCGCTACACAAAAGTTTAGCTGTTCTTAAAATTGCTAATTGTTAATGTTCGTGTAATAATTAAATAATTCAACTGCAATACTTTAATTGAAATCAATAATGAATAATAATTGCAAAAACGAATAATTAAATGAAAATAATACAGTTTGTAGGAAAGTAGGTTTTCGTTTGTCATTCGTACCAACCCAGCAAAAGCATGGTAATAACTTGTACTTACTCAACAACTTACTTTTCAATGACTACTACATACCCTCTGCATTACTTACAATGAGGCTAATAATAATTTATAAATAATATATAATAAAAAAATATTCACCCATACTCAACAACTTACTTTTTAATGACTACTACATACCCTCTGCATTACTTAGAATGAGTCTAATAATAACTTATAAATAATATATAATAAAAAAAAATATTCACCCATATTCTACGTTTCAATTCGAATCGAAATTTTCTCCGTTTGGCAACTTTTATTCTGCATTTCGATTCGACTCTCCGCCACATAAACAACAATGATGTTTGTAACGCTCAAAAATGTTGGGCTTACACCCATCTTTACCCCTTACCGATCGACTCCGACACTTTCTGAGTCTGTCTGTTCGTACGGATAGATATACAAATAAACCTCGTACGCAAGGAACAGGCCTCAATTTTCAACATATATCGATGAAATTTGCCTTTAAAAAAT